GAAGGAAGGAAGGAAGGAAGGAAGGAAGGAAGGAAGGAAGGAAGGAAGGAAGGAAGGAAGGAAGGAAGGAGCCATCACCTGTTAGAATTTGGACTGGGCTCAGGGCAATGGGTGGAAACCAGTTCCCAGTGCCCTTGGACACATGGAGTAATTTTACTTTTGCCTCCTTGAGCCCCACAGCCCTTTTCCTTCTCCTCCCCAGCACCTGGACATTCTCAGTGCATTCAGCTCCCTCCTGCCTGCCTGGGGCTGGGGACAATGACCAACCTGAGCCCCCCCGGGGCTGGCAGGAGATGGCAGGGAAGGATGAAGGAATGTTCCCTGAGGCCGGGAGGGGATATGTGGTGTAGAAACTGCCTCAGGTGACAGAATCCCTCCAGTCACCATGGCACATGGATAAAGGGTGAACAACCTCATCCCATGGCTCAGGCTGCATCAATGTCCTCTGGACTGCCAGAGGCTTCAGTGCTCTTCATCTGTGTCACAAAAGTCGGATGTGAAGAGCAATTCTTACCCCCAGCATCCCCAGCAGTGTCCTGAGGGATTCATTTCCAGTGGATCCAGGCGGAACAGCCCAGGGACGGCCGGTGCTGGGTGGGCAGGGAGCTGCTGGGAGACTGGAGGGGATGGGTGTGGATGGAAATGGATTGCAGGTGGGGATTTTAGCTGTCAGAGCCCGCCCTGCAGCACACCCTGACCCGGAGCAAAGCCATGGAGACACCCGGGGGCAAAACCCCGGCGGGCAAATCCCGGTGCTGGTCCCGGCTACGTGGGAGCGTATCTGGCGGCTAGTGCAAGCGGGAACGGGCTGGCCAAGAGCTGAGTCATCCCTCCAGCACGGAGGAGATCCCCCAGGGCCCCTCGTTTGCTGTTAAAAGGCAGTAGCAAGAGCAAGAGGCTGCGAAATGGCTCCGCCGAGAGCTCGGCTTCTGAGGCAGCCCCGGCAGCCTGAGGAGGGAGCGGGGATGGATGCTCCGCTCGGAGCACGGAGCCCGCAGACATCTGGAGCCTGTGGCTGCTTTCTCAACGGCTCCTTGGCCGCGGTTCTGCTCCGCTTCGGAGATAAAGGCGGCGCGGGTGACCCCGCGGAGCGGAGCCGCGGTGCTGGCCGCCCTCCAGGCAGCCCGGCCGGAGGAAGCAGCGGCCCCGCTCTGTGCGGCCGCCAAAGCAAACAGAAATGGGGCATAAAACAATGCTGGGCGCGAACGGGGGACTCTGACCGCCGGCGACACCGCTGCCGACGTCTCCAGGAGAGTTTCCACTGGCATCTCTGCCCCCTGCCCAGATAAAACCCTCCTGAAGGCTTCATCCTGCACACCTGAGCTGTGTGCAAGGACCTGCCGGGGGCTGAGGGAGGCAGGAGGGATGAAGGGTGAGGAACAGGAGTTGCCCGGCTTCCAGCAGCCCTTCTGCTTACCGTGGGCTTGCTGGAAGGATTTGGCTTAGTCATCCATCCCTTTCCCTCGCTGGTAGGCTGAGCCACTGCTGAAAATATCCTGGAAGAGTCCCAAGCAGCACAGAAGGCAAGAAAATGAGGAACACATGAAGGAAGGGAAGACGGGAAGGGATGGGATGGGAAGGAAAGAAGAGCAGGGCTGGGAGCGGGCTGCCTTGGCCACCCACCTC